ACAACCTGCAGGCGATGGAGATTATTATTATTATTGTTTCCTTTAATTCCTAGAGGAATATAGGGCTTCAGTCGCAAGTCTCCGTTGCGTTCGATTCTCCATCAACATTTTCACCTGGCTCCACATCTGCCCACATGCTTTTATCTCCTCTTCGTATGACCTCCTCCATATCACACTCGCATTGACGACCAACTAAGTCTCTGCTTCCCATTCAGGTTCCACTCGGGCAATGGCCTGGCGTGTGATATAACTCACTTGATGGTTTGTTTTCTCAGAGTATGGCCAACCAATCCACCTCTATTTCTTCCTGCATATTTGTTGCACGATTGGAGGTACAGATAAGGATGCTAAAGCCAGAATTACATTGGGAAAACAAGACGGGCGATTATTACTCTGGAATCATTGTGCACAAATAGACTACAGGCGTTTATCAACACCTGCCTCCTTTGCTACATACTGAAGATCAGATATAACCGACCGGCTAGCCAGTAAAGCATCAGTAACAAGGAATTCTGACAGCCAAGGACCTATTATACACCTAACAAATATAAAGACGCTTAAAAGATCGGTATGACATCTTCATATAGGTACGCCATTTTGTGTAGACTGTATCTACTTGTACTGCTCAAGAATACTAGTTACAGGTTTTCTACTTTAACCAACACACCTTGGTTATACATCACACATGCATCTCACTGACTGATCTACCTTTCCCTTCTCAGCTTTTTCCATGCGATCTAATAAGCGAATTGACAGTAAAAGGGCTAGTTTGTGACTAGATTTGGTTGTTTAGCTTTTCATATGAAGCAGTACTCTAACAGTGACTAAACGTAACCGACATTTTGGCTAGACTATTGAAATATATAAGAAAAAAATAAATGCCTCCAAAATATTAACTGACTCACCATCATGTAGCCTTTCGAGTGACTAGGGTCAGGTAACAGATAGTTTATTGAGCAAATCAAGAGATATTTATACAATTTTATGTACATTATTGTCAGCGGGGAAGTAACGTCTTCTGATTGGTTGTTTTCGTGTTGAAGGTTATTCTGTTATTTTTTGTGACCGTTTCTTGGAAAGTTAAGCCATATATCTGCGAATCATATTTCCACACGTCAACTCCATTGTGATTGGTTGGTGATTTTCTCAAGGTTAAGCTTTGTTATTGTTTTTTTCCTCATGACCCCGATTCGGGACGTAAACATTGACGTAAATTGTTGTCTACAATTTCGGCTTACAGACAGCTCTCACCACAACAGTACAGATATGGGAACACAAATGCTCGCCTTGTAACCAGAAGGTCCTGGGTTCGAATCCCGGTGGGTGCGTACTGATGAAGAGTCCCAAACCAGGACGAAACAGCTGTCCAGTACTCCCAGGTTTTTCGATGGTTCTCTAACCGATGTCAGCTCATGATGAAAATCCTGTGACAAAACAATTTAGCTTATCTAATACCCTGCTGCAATGATTGTCAGATCAAATACATAGGTCAAACTAGTAGAACAGGGGCAGTCAGACTAGCAGAACATAAAAACTTAGCAAAATCTAGATCGGTTGATCCAAATAAGACAAGAAATCTAGAGAATAGTTCAGCTATAGCACTCACTACATACAATTACACACAACCATACAGCATAGGATGGGATGGGATAGGATGACAGTTTCAAAATCTAATGTCACAGGGTATAGGGAGAGATTGATAACAGAAGCTTTGTTTATCGAATCAACTGGAAATACATGTAATAGGAATGATTCAACACCTATCCACCCAGATATCTGGAAAATTCTACTAACACGCCTACGATGACAAATAGGAGAGAACAAAGAAAACTATAAAACTCAAGTTTCTAAGTCGTGTGATTATAATTGATGAAATGATTATGAACAGTAATAAATTTTGTTCGAAACTGTGTCATCCAGTAAATAATACTGTTTCACTGTGTGATATGTCCATCTAATAAACAAACTAATATGGAGTTGCTGATTGAGGATAGTTATCCAGAAAAATTCATCGATAAGAATATCAATCAAAAATCAAGGCAGCCCAAGGTATCAACAGTTCCGAAGCAGGAAGGCCTTATTCTTAGAGCTTCAGTTCCTCGAGTATAACATCAGCGAGATATTAATTAATACAGCGCCTTAGGAATACGGCGGTAAAAAGAAAATTCAGTACTGCTGAATTATGCTGTCTCTTCAAAACCACCCCTATTTTGATTTCGGGATTTAAAGACAAACTGCCTAATTTCGTTTCTTCTATGCGTATCTACCAATTTGACTGCACTTGTGGAGTGAGCCAGTTAGTTGCATAGGTCAAACAGTTAGCCGTGTTTCTCGTCGGATTTCCGAGCATCATCCTACGTGGTTAAGTAAGGGACAAACAAAATCCATTGACAGTTCTATTCCATCTTATCTCGAGGATACAGAACACAAGATTGGTGTTAAAACGACAGCTTTCAAAGTCATCTACCGCATACCAACTAATCTTAACTTCACCTTAATAATTCGTCTATTACATATTGCTGATGCCGTTAGGATCTACATTAAGAAGCCTAACTTATATATGTATCCAAAAGAAGAAGTCGGTTCAGACACTGTCCTTACCTTGGCCATCAATCATGGTTTCAATGATCCTTAATTTATTGTAGAAATTTTCTGAATTTTATATGATATTCTATTTACTGTTGCATTTTTATGCTTATTATATAACTTAAGCGTCTTTCTTGAGCTGTAATTTCATTGTCTTCTAATAGTATTTTTTACAACCTATTGATAAGCAAATTTCTAATATGCATGAGAAGAAGCATTATTCTGGGTAGCAAATTATCCTGCCCAATACATGAGATGACAGTTCCTGAGAGGTGTCTCTTAGGTTCACAAAATGTACTCGTGAACTTTTAATAATTGCCACTCAACCAAATTTCGTGTATTAGAAGAAGATAAAGAAGAGATATCACATAATATTGGGTTGTTTCGCATTTCAGGTCAGACAGAACTGCGTCACACGATCAATCTACTGTCAGTTAATTAATTTTTTATTTGAAGATCCTAGACAAAGACAAAATATCATGGAATAAACTCCGCTTAAAATTTTGTACATTATATGAATACTGTTCAGAATAAAGCTGTTCTTATAATAATTCTTAATTTCTTTCACGCCATTACGACTTACTAGCTATCATCCCTTGATGACATCTATGAAGATGAACTTCGGCGATGATGATATATGTCTGATTTCCCACAAACTGGAGGATATGCAAGTGAAAACCAACAAGTTGGCGGAGGAAGCATCACAGATAGGACTCGGATTCGGAGTCGAAACAGATGCCCACTTTGACCGGTATGGTGCTTTTTACAATTCATGCAATTTATTTTGTAGATGATGTTGATCTTGTCTTCTTTTACTGTTGGGTGGGTCTTTTGGTCTGCATGCTATCGAATAAAGTGATTTCGTCGGTCTCAAATCGTTTCAGTATTCTAGTATATATATGTATATTTTGGGGTGCAAGTGAAAAGCAACAAGTTGATGGAGGAAGCATCAAAGATAGGACATCAGGTGAACATACAGAAAACATAGGTAGGTGAAGAAGATTCCTGGCCAACATCAACATCAACAACAACAGACAACAATCAGCCAGCATAAACGGGAGAAATCTGAAAGAAGCAACCTCCTTCACCTACCCACCTGCCTACCTGGGAAGCATCGCTTCAACTACAGGCGGACAGAACTGACGAGAATATCAAAGCACGAGGATCGGGAAAGCAAGACAACCTTTCATTACTCTCAAGTTTGTGCCTGGAGATCAACAGCACTCAGCATGAAAAATAAGATCCTGATTTTCGACTCCAATGTGAAGTCAGTGCTACTTACTATACGGATCAGAGACTTGGCGTCGCGTCATGAAGGCCACTTCGAACAAAGTACAGACCTTCATCAACAGCTGTCTTCGCTCAACACCGCTCAAGATCAGATGGCCAGTCAGAAAAGATCAGCAACAGGCAGCGATCTCTGGCAATGAGCAAACCAACCAACCCAGCAGGAACCAATTGTGCAACAAATATGCAAGAAGAAATGGAGGTGGATTGGTGGCGATGCTCTGAGAAAACAAACCATCAAGTGAGTGACACGCCAGGCCATTGACCGAATGGGAAGCGGCGACTTAGCGGGTGATCAGTGAGAGGGTGACATGGAGGAGGCCATGTCAAGAGATGAAAGCATGTGGACAGACGTGGAGCCAAACGCGCAATGGAGACGTGCGGCTGAATCCCAATGTTCCTCTAGGAATAAAACGAAACAGTAATAATAGTGAAGATGGATGCTTATTTGATACACCCGATGAAGATACTCGACCAACAACAGCAAACATCATGAACGAGAAAAATCGAAAAAAGAAGTTATATATATTTCACTTATCTGAAATTATTGTGCATATCTATAGCAACACTCAGCAGCACAACATCATAATTTCTATGCGATTCAGACACTTAGTGCACAGGTCTTCATCATCAAATACACTACAGACTGACTTTCATCAACTAACACCCGCCTCCTTTTTTTTAATACTGAAGATTAGATAACAACCAACCGGACAGAAGGCTGATGTCAGCAACAAGGAACTCTGACGCTGCGGAGACCAGGATGACACATGATTCACATTCAACCTCCAAAAGTAATAAAACCAAAGCGTACACACAGTACACAGGTGCATATTATAATTAGACAGTTTATTATATAGATATAATAAAAAAATGTTTGTATTTTCCTCTGATTCTGACAATAATAATAATAGTAATAATAATAATAAATTAAAAAGTAGAATAGGGAGAGAGAGAGGGAGTACATGAATGTGAATGATTGAATGAGTGAGCGAAAGAATAATTAACAATACAATCACAGGTTGTCTTTTATATCACTTGTACACTCCGGACTGAAAAAGCCCATTATAATTAATTAAATTAGAATATTTTGCACAATATAAATATGGAAGAAGGCGAAAAAAAAAAATAATGCCCTCTCACAACCCATGCATGCATGCATTTATACGTATATATATATATATTATCAACAGATTTAAAGCAAGGGAAATTATACCGATTTCAAGGTGTTCAAATATTACATATGATTAGAGGATTTATGATTCTCATAGGTACATATCAACTTTTTCATAGCAAAGTATTGATTGACACGAGCGATACCGTATCTAAAATGAAAAAAACACACAATAGGGTGGGGGGGGGGCTTTGTTAGAATTCTAAATAGTTATATAAGTAGGTGGAGACAGGGTGAGAGAGACAGTCGTTGATTACTGAATCCTGCCTGGTTCATCGAATAATCTACACCCAACACACGCAATATAGAAGTGACTCAACACAAACACCAGAGATATGTATGGAAGATATTATTACCACCAGTCAAATCAGAAGAGGATAATAAATAATGTTAAAATGTATTTCAATTCAATTCACATTATTATATTCTAACAAGTTACTTATTTATGTTACTATGATAACGTCTTATTTCCCATCTGATTGTATTCGATTGATAACACTAATATTATTACTTATGAATGTGTTTCATCTTAGAATGATTTTATTCAGATGTCTAATCATAAATTTTTACTCATGTATATAAATTAGGCAAGGAAGTTGTGTGAGTGAGTGCTCGAAATGTGGTAATCAGTAAATATTACTGTATAACAAACACTATGTGATTTATCAAAATAAAATCTTTTCTATAATGGAGTAAAAGCAGAATTTTATATAAATAGGGATTAGATTTGTTTTTTCGAGTGTGACCACGGATTGATATCACAGTTAGAGAACCATTGAAAACCAGCTACAGGGCATACTGCCTATTTTGAGAGTCATCGACAGTACGCACCCAACGCCAGAGTTAGAACCCATGACCTTCCGGTAACAAGGTAAGCTACCTCGTAGACCATTCAGCCATTGGGAGCCGACTACTCAATGGCCAGCGCATGAATTCTAACTTCTAACAATTCGTGTGATGAGTTTAGCGCGACCACCAAGCAATGTCATGCGGGGGGGGGGGGGAAATCCATCCTCACAATTGACTGGATGCACCTCGTTGGTCACGACTTCTTTGGCGTGTAACAAAAATCTCCATTTTGAATATATTTGCAAAAATAATAAGTTGTGTAAAAAGATACTGCTATATTTTTCGACTAGATCTTCATCAATAGAGCTGATCCACAATGATGATGTTCAGTTTGTTTGTCTATTAGTTTAAGTTGTTGCTGTATGGTGTCACAGTTACATTAGAGGCGTATTAATGTGAGTATGTTCCTATTAGATAAGTTTATTTTAATTATCACACACAGTGATGCAGATGCAGTATTAACAACTGGATGACAAGGTGGTTTCGAGCATAAATTATTACTGCTCATAATCATAGCAATTTTAGTCACATGGTTTCAAAATCTGTCTCATATTATATTTTCTCTCTATTCTGTCTCTCCTTCCAGGTTCTCTTTGTTGTTTGTTGCCACTCTCCGTATCTGCGGTATAGGCGTTGCGTTGTGTCATCCCGGTTGCACATGTATGGTGTTGGATTGATAAACAAAGCTTCAGTCAGTGATTAACCTCCCTCTCTCTCTCCACCTAACTATATTACTTTTTAATACTCTCACTCTCTCCCACCCACCCTATTTTGTGATGATTACATGCAAGTGAATGCAGTGCAATAACTGAGCTCTGTTTTTTCTAGGTTATTTAACTTAACAGTGTCAATCATGCTAGGTCTAGCTAGATTTTTATGTTCCAATAATCTAGTTGACCCCGACCTACTAGTTTGACCTATGTAATTGACCTCAATAACAGTCATTACATGGTATTTGGTAAATTATATGACTTTTCTCAATTGGATCTATTGGGTGCTTAAGCCGACAAAGTTTTTCTCTGAGAGACTTGGTTGGTTGTTTATTTTAAATGCTTCTCTAATTCCAGCCTCCTTGAGAATTCTACGTAGGACCTCTGACGTCCCTTCTTTATACGGCAGTGCTACAGAGGTTTTGAATTCTATATTATTTTTGTGGGACACGGTGAGAGTCTTAAAAAGTAATATAGTTAGATGCAGAAAGAGAGAGAGGTTAATCACTGACTGAAGCTTTGTTTATCGAGTCAACACCGCACACGTGCAATCGGAATGACGCAACGCAGTTTCGTGATTATCGCCAGTCGTCAGCGAGGATCTGACGCCTCCTCGGAGGTTTGAACCCGTTTCTGCACTCTCAGAAACGTTGCCACTGATGAAGCTTGGTGATTCACCATCGTGATGCTCTTTGAATTAATATTAAGAGTTTGTAGACGACAGACTAGGAGCTCTAAGCTTAAGGTTTCATGCTTATTGGTAACCAACGCCCCCCTGCGTGCTGCCCTAGTGACCAGTAGTCGGTGTGCTTAAACTGTTTTATCAGATATTGAATCAACAGGCTGTCTCACTTTCATAAATATAAAGGGTTAAAAAAATTGTATGGAAGTCGATTGTGAAATATTCCTAAGACCATCTAATATTGTTCCTTGAAGTGGTACTAGAATGTTTTTTGTATTGTATTCACTCTACGTTTAACTATTGACTACTGCTGAGCAGTACAGCAGTTCGCTCCGTCCTTCTCTATGGCTCTGAAACGTGGCCAATACGAGTTGAAGATATGAAAAGGTTGACTGTTTTTGATCATAGATGTCTACGATCTCTTTTCACGTTAGGTGGTATAATAAGGTAAGTAATGTTGACGTTAGATGTAGAGTGTTGGGCAAAGACGAAAAATCAATCAACGAGGCTATAAAGTTACATAGATTGAGATGGCTAGGTCACGTGCTGCGCATACCTAAGCATCGTCTCCCCCCGACGGACGGGCATTACTAGCTGATACAGGTAGGTGCAGGTTGGAAGAGAGTAAGTGGTAGCCAAACAAAAACATGGCATCAATCCATGAAATCCTTGACAGTTAAACTGAGTCAGGTAGGGAGATGCAGACTTCCGGGTTGGGGCTCTCGGGACTCTAAGAATCAATGGCTGGAGACAATAGGCGACATGACTCAAAATCGTTGTCAATGGTGCAGATGTATTCAGTCTCTGTAATATTCAGTCTCATATTCCTTTCTACCATTACTCATTCTGTTTCACTCTTATACTTGTCAAAACTCTATTGATTCTCTTCACTCACTTCCTTGTCTACATTTGTGTGCTCTTTGGAACGTGGCAACTCGAAGTGCTGCACTTCGGTGCCAAGTTCTATGTTGAATGCAGCCAGCCAGCCAGCCAGTGAAATCCTAGCGATTTTATTCGTTTAACTTTAACGCCTGCTGCTACAGACTAGCAAAACGAGTTCCTTGAAACTGGTGCACTTAGGAGAGTGACAGGGGAATGTAACAACAGTGTCTCTTACAGATGACCACATTGAGATGATAGGGTTAGAGAAAAAGTCAACCCATAGATTTGTATATCTCGATTTATCCTGCAAAGAAGATAAGCTCTTCGTACGGATACATACATAAATCACTTCAAACAGACCGTGTGTGCCATAGGCCCTGGAATCCTCAGGCACACAAAACTATGTTCTTACGTTAACTCGAAAAAGTCTATTCCTAGTGATTACATAGTAACGCGGAGTTCTATCGAAACACCCATAGAGGAGGACCAAATATCGTCTGATTGAAGACCATTTTACTGTTGTCTCCAAGACAAAAGAGAACAGGTGATAACGATCTTGGAATGTATACGTATAAATTAAAATTTTGTCCATAAAACGGGACACATTGGTAAACTGCAACATGTCAATAGCCAATAAGTGAAACATAAACTCAAAGAGTAAGTGGAGGACGAAAATACAGAAGAACATATATTTAATATCGCTCAAAATTGAACTTCGTCAACTGTTAGTTTGCAGGGATTTGATTGACCACGAACTGACTTCAGTTAGAGAACCATTGAAAACCAGGGAGTGCTGGACTGCTCTTTCGCCCTGCCACTGGGACTTTTCAAGAGTACACTCCAGTTGCCCTGCTAGGGATCGAATCCAGGACCTCCAGATTACAAGGCGAGCTTATTGACCATTCCAGCCACTTGAGCTTCTGGAATCCAATAGGCTATGAATTCTAATTTCTGCCAACTCGTAATATATATAGAGCGACCATCAGCCAGTATCATCGGAGAGTATTCGTCCTCATACCGAACTTGGTGGAACCCGCTGGTCGTGAATTCCCAAGTGAATTGGAAGAAGTTGCAGTTGATGCAGCACATTGAATTCCGTCTCAGTGGCTAAATGGTCAATGTTCGCCTTGCAAACTGGAGGTCCTGGGTTCGATTCCTGGGGGAGTCATAGTTGTGTGTACTCCTGAAGAGGCCCAAGTAAGGACAAAAGAACAGTCCAGCACTTCCTAGTTTTCAACGATTCTCTAACTGAAATCAATTCGTGATCAGTCTTGAACTTCGCCATCGAAAATGTTACAATCTGACCAGTGGTTTTGATCACATATATGTATATGAGTGAGTATGTTTATCCTCTCTCTCTCTACAGTAGTTTTCTTATTTTGAAATATCGATCAACAACATTTAGCATAGAAAAAGAAAATAAAAAAGTTTTCAATCTACTGAATTACTTACGATAAGTAGTCGAATTTGTCCTGTTCTTGAATTGACAATACAACTGCCCAAACACCCCAGAATAAATGAGCTGCCTAAAAAGTGGAAAGTATACGAAGATCAGAAATCAGAAAAGAGCGCAAAAAAACCAACCAACGACGTGACCAATGCATTTTTATGGAGTAATATTTAAAGAATAAACTGCGTACTACTGAAGAGTCCCAAACTAGGACGAAACAGCTGTCCAGTACTCCCTGGTGATTTTCCAATGGTTCTCCAACCGATGTCAGCTCATAATGAAATCCTGCAACCAATCAAATCAAATCCCTGCAAGCCAACACACTTGAATAATCCCTGAAAATTATTTTAGTCGACAGGTTAGTAATCTCTGTAAAAAATCCAATGTCTACCGACTTTCTAGGATTGGTTCTCAGGGATGTGCTGGACAGATGTTCCCCCCCCCCAGGTTAGGACTGTTTCAGCAGTATGTACTCATAACCTAATCGAACCTACGACCCTCAGGAGGTTGTAATGCGAGCCCGCTGATAGTTCAGTTATTGGGACGGAATCCAGTTGCTTATGAATTCTAACTTTTGCCAGTCAACGTTATCAGTGAGTGTCTGTTCTCACGCACAACTTCCTGAAGACTACCGTCGAACTGGAACGAAACAGCTATCCAGTACTCCCTGGTTTTCATTGGTTCTTCATCTGTCCATTTCGTCGAAGTCAATCTTTTATATTGTCTAACTTGTATTTGTAACAGATCTTTAACCATTGGTTGGTTCATGTATTTCACTGACAGATGGCTTCGCGTTATCTACCTCTTTTATGTCACTCCCTCCAGCAGCCCTCGTTAGCTTTCTTCTCATTGGTTGCTTCAATCATTTCAATTGACTTCCAGCACTTGGTAAAACTGCTGTCTCTACCACGTGTTGCTGGCCTTCGCTAACTTATAATTATGCTATAGGGAAATAAATGGCACAGTTCACAAAGTATCCAAAATATTTTTCGATTGAGAACAATATTTTTCTTTTCAGCCTGCCTGCAGTCATAAATCCATAAATATATTATCACGTAATAATCAATAAAAGGGCAGTCTACAGGATTTGACTTGTTTCAAGTTTGCCCATCACGGATTGATATCAGCTAGAAAACCATTGAAAACCAAGGAGTATTGGACAGCCAAATGTTTCGTCCTAGTTTAAGACTCTTCAGCAACACGCACCCACCAGAGTCCGAACCCAGGACTTTCCAGTTACAAGGTAAGCTCGTAAACCAACCATCTACAGCCGCCACCACTGGGACCCAACTTCAATGGTCAGCCGATGAATTCTAACTTTTACCAATTCGTAATTTTTTAGCGAGACTGGCACCAGTCAATATCATCGCTGGAGAGTGCTTATCCTCACTCTTGACTAGATGGACCCCACTGGTCACAACTTCATACTAGAACTCCAAGCAAATTCGTCTTGTACCCAGTCACCACCAGTGAGCATCAGATTAATTTTCGAGAGTTAGTTTGTAGGAATTCGGCTTATTTCAAGTTTAACCACGGGCCATTATTAGTTTAAGAACCATTGAAAACCAGGCGGGTGTGTACTGTTGAAGAGTTCCAAACTAGGACGAAACGCCTCTCTAGTTTGCAATGGTTCTAAACTTGAAAACGAGGGAGAAATGACAGAAAGCGCTTTTGAGTAATGAAATATCTGGGATAAGAATATACCACTATTACACATTTTATGCATGACTGGGCCAAGTTAAACTTTAAGCACCACTAGCTACCAATCAGCGAATGACCTCGAACGCACCAATCACGTGAAGGAGGCATTTTTGTGCATGAAATACATGTATTTATGAAAAACAGCATAAAAACTGTATAAGTGTTACAGAGGATACCTTCCTCTCACATGTGATAAAAATAGCTGTCAGTTTTAGGTTCGAGTATCAACAGAGTATAATTCCCTTGTGGGCAAAATTCACTTTGATAAAGTCTCATAGCGTTATGCAGTTATATTTACTGAGCAATAAATTATGCTCGAAACGTTGTCATCAGTAAATATTACTGTATAACACTGTGAGACGTTATCAAAATAAACTTTACCCACAATGGAATTATACTCTACCACCACAGTGCCTAAGTTCTATTCTTATATCAGTAGAGTAATTTCACCACATCCTATGCATGTAATTATTTAGCTCTTCTGACCCTAGCAATAACCCTAATCTTTACTGAACCTAACTCTAAAATGAAAATATCCGTAAACTAACTGTAATGTAACTCGAAGCAACCCTAATGTCGCCTTTATTAGGTTAACCTAATCCTAACTTGTCCTTGGCTTAAACCGTAACTTAGTCTTTCTCAAACCTAAGCTGAAACTTTCCAGATATCCTATTAAATAACATAATACCTCGATGAGCGTATTTCATTGATGATGACAATATTACTTGCCAGGTTTCACTAATTTGCTCAGTGAGCGTTTCAAGGTCATTGATGCGGTCGCACTCCATTGGTAGTTAGTGGTGCTTAAAGTTTAACTTGGCCCATGATTGAATCTCTCTGGAAATCAATAAAAGTACATCCAATCTATGTAATATATAGACCAACCTTGGCCTACTTCTTTAAAAGATTAACCTCAAATTTAATATTTTAATTCATATCTTTATGTTTTACCGTGTCCTTCTATTTCCTTTCGTAATCTTTTAGAAACCATTTGTTTAGATCACTTTACAAATATTATTACCAATCGTCTTTTAAACTTACACTGTGCATATTTCTATTTGTATATTGGACTTTCTCTCATTCAGCCGATACGACAACTTACCTTTTGAAACCTGCTCATATTCACACGTGTTGTGGACAGTAAAATCTCATAATTCTATTTTTGATGTACATATTTTGTGTACAGCTAAATCAGTCAACAATTCGCAATTTTATGCATTTGTTAATGAGCCATACCCTATTGAGTACGATTTAGTGGTTATGCCCACTATCCCCATTTCTATTCAATTTCATCATAGATGATATACTAATGGACTTAACCCTAACTGACTTCAGCGACTCAGGGATTGACTTGTTAACATCAGGGAATAATAGTCTCGTTGACTTAGAATATGCAAATGAAGACGCTGACAAAATAGAGCAGAGTCTTCTGAACACCTTGAAGAGTGGCCAACTTCTAATGTTTGGCATGCGATTCGCTCCAAACAAATCTAAGATGATGCTACAGGACTAAATGGACTACATTGACTCCTAGCTTAGAAATAGGGGGTGAAGTGGTTGGTGGAGCGAGTAAAACACTTCACTTATTTGGGAATTTGCATCAGGCCTAACGGGTTGATCTGATTGCTGACGAGATCTCAGCACGGATACAGAAGGCTAGTTTCGCATATACCAGTTTACGCCATCTCTGGCTTAGTAGACGTGATATCCGGCTGGCTGTCGACGAAAAGGCGTGTGTACTGCTCACCAGTTCGCCCCATCCTCCTTTACGGCTATGAGACCCGGATATTGAGAGTGGAAGACATGAAAAGGCTGGTGTCTGCGTTCTATCTCCCGTCTGAAATGGTATAATATGGTAAGCAATATTGAGGTTAGGCGTCGAGTGCTAGGTAAAAAGGGGAAATCAACAGACAAGGCTGTGAAGTTACACCGATTGAGATGGTTAAGACATGTGTTACGCATGCATGCCTAGCCATCCATCGCCTTCCTCGGCGGGTAATGTTAGCTGACATAGGATTAAGTTGTTGCAAAAGAGCCAGTGGTGGTCAAACCAAAACATGGCCTCATCAATCAGTGAAATCCACAACAGTTAGTTTAAGTTAGCCAGCCAGCCACGTAGGAAGGTGTAGACCTCCTGGTTGGGGTACTCGGGACGGTAAACACCAATGTCGGCTGGGAACAATTGGTGATATAACTCGAAATTGTTCTCAATGGCGCAGATGCATCCACTCCTTGTGACTTATGATTTCCAATAAAACTATATTGTTCTTCCATATTACTATTCTTTTTGCCTTATATCTCTGTTTACTGTCTCTATTTTGCGTTTCTTTTTACTTTCTTCTCTGGTTTTGTGTGCTGAGTGAAGTGTGGCGACTCGAACTGCTGCACATCGGTGCAAAGTTCTATGTTGAAACCAGACAGACAGTGGTAATATATGGGTTGCTTAAACTTCTGTAGGTGGACCAGGATTCGAAGCTCATGACCTGCTTGGTTAGAAGTCAAGCACTTAAACCAATGGGCTACAACTCCTTACAGTTGGTGTGATGTATATATATATATATTCTTATTTTTCTGGCTTATATATTGTATGATATTTCTGATGGATTTATAACTATAAAGGTTGAAAGTGTGGGGAGGAGGAAGTCATTGAAGACAACAGTACGCTAAAATATTCTTTGCTTTAAGTATGTTCTTTATTTCGCCACTTGAGACGTTAAGAACCAGAAGGGCTGGAGACTGCTGATGAAATGGCTTAAAATCATTGTCAATAGCACATATGCATTCTCGCTTCATTTTGAAGTGTTGCTAGAATATTAGCAGCATGGAACTCTGGGGACGAACCAATCAAGGACATATTGGTCAACAAATATATGCAGAAGAAAATGGAGTTGGATCGGACACACGCTCAGGCGGCCGCCAAGTGACATCGCGCGCCAGGCTATCGCTAGAGTAGCACGCGAATGGGAAACGACGAGTTGGGCGTGGATCTGAGGGTGATACGGAGTAGATCGTATCAGGTGGAGATGAGAGCTTATGAACATCTGTGGAGCCAGCTAAAGTGGACTGCAGATATTGATAGAACGCAGACACCAATGATCAAAGACAACCAGCGGGCCTTTTCATATCTACCACTTTCGATGGCCATTTCTCAAAGCCACAAAGGAAGACGGGGCAAACTGCCGAGCAGTACACAAGCCCTTTGATCGACAGCCAACCGGATATCACGTCTACTAAGCCAGAGATGGAGTAGGTTGGTTGGCATATGCCAAACGAGCCTTCTGTGTGTGTGCTGAGATTTCGTCAGCGATCAAACCGCTGATGTTGGTTGATACAACTCTCCAAAACAGTGAGTGTGAAGGGTCAACACGCTCCATCACCCAATTCACTCCCTATCATTAAGCTAGGAGTGAATCAATGTAGTCCAGTCAGTCATGTAGTACTCATCCTCTTACATTTTACAAAGGGAGCGAATCACATGCCAAACATTCGAAGATTGCTACTACTCAAGGTGTTCAGAAGACTTTGCTCTATTTTGTCAGCGTCTTCACCTATTAGCAGAGCAGGACTATATCATCATTTGGATATTCTAAGTCAACGAGACTATTATTCCCTGATGCTAACAAGTCAATCCTTGAGTCTCTGAAGTCATTGAGGGTTAGTAAGTAAGGCATCTAAAAACTTTCTTTTATGTATAGTTCAGTGTAGTGATTCTAATAAAACATAAAAGAATGCAACCATTTTATCATTGTCCAGCACCCACCCCACCCTGCTTATGTCATAGCAATCTTGTTTAACAAAAACAAAAGACGCCTAGTTACAGGATTAAAAGGTGTCGTATGCAGGTGAACACTATTCACAGCTAATAAACAAGAACAACTGTGTGTACTGTTCATCAGTCCGCTCCGTCCTCCTTTATGACTGTGAGACCTGGCCATTGAGAGCAGAAGACATGAAAAGATTAGCTGTCTTTGATCATAGGTGCATGCGTTTTATCTTGCCCCATATGAAGTGGTATAATAAGGTGAGCAATATTGAGGTTAGGCGTCGATAGAGTGCTAGGTAAGGAGGGGAAATCAATCGATGAGGCTGTGAAATTACATCGACTGAGATGGTTAGAACATGTGTTACGTATGCCTAGTCATTGCCTTCCTCGACAATGGGCAATGTTAGCTGATATAGGGTCAGGGTGGAAAAGAGCTAGCGGTGGTCAAACGAAAACATGGCATCAGCAGTCGATGAAATCTACAACAGTTAGTCTGAGCCACGTAGGTAGCTGTAAACTGGCTTCCTGGTTGGGGTCGTCGGGACAGTAAAAACCAATGGTTAGAAACAATTGGTGACATGACTCAAATCGTTCTCAATGGCTGGCGTGGATCCTTGTGACTTATGATTTCCAATGAAACTGTTTTGTTCTTCGTTATTACTATTCCTTTGTCTCACACCTCTGTTTACTGTCTATATTATGCATTTCTTCTCTTGCTGTGTGCTACATGGAGTGTGGCGACTTGAACTGCCGCACATATGTGCAAAGTTCTATGTCGAAAACAGACACACAGACAGATAGACATACAAGAACAACAAAAAGGGAGTATATCACCACCGCAACTTCCACTTACCATAGCGAAGTGATTCGCTTCAGTCAACCATTTATCCACTGTACTCGTATTTTCATGTTGACCATCTTTTAATGATAAATTGACGATATTATTTGATGGACATGAAAAAGACGATTTGAAGCAGGATAGTGAAGGATAGCCATTTTGATTCAGTTCACGGACTGATGGTTGTAGATGATGGTGTTGATATCCTGACCTGTTGAATTTCTTTGTATAATAATCTCTAGCTGACAGGTATGTACTAATCCACATTCGTTGATATTCTTTACTTGGATATTTGTCAAAATTTACAACACTTATGCCTAGAATCAATATATAGAAAGAGAGAAAAAGAAAATGAAAAGAGTTCGCCATTGTGAGATAAACAGGTGAAGATTAATGCGAAACAAAATACACACACGTGGTACTTCAGCAAAGAGTCTCTTTTCGCTGGCGCACTTTTATTCACACTTAACTATGCAACAGCAATTATAGTTACCTATAATGGAGAAGATTTGTAGTTCACGTGGATGATTTTGATGTAGTTGTGTTCTGTGAGTTGGATGGTCTATTCGCGAAACTTTCGTTGCCTTACTAGGCGACATCTTCAGCACATACCTCAATCTGTTGAAGTGAGCTTTTAGATTTCTCCACGAGTTTATTAGTCATCTCTCCTGGTTACCTTAATTGTGATTGGTTGTATTCGCCTATTTTCACACTCTCTAGGCTACTTGTATTGGTACTGATTGTTTCCTTGACCTAAAGTCCAATCCTTTGAATGAGATTTCCTTCTTATCAATTGATAAATTTTGTCATGAGATCCACTCCTTGGTAGGTAGTTACCTGGGGTTCCAGTGGAAAGTCGTGACCAGTAGGGTGCAGCAGGTCGGGTGTGAGGACAAATATTCGCCGAAGACATTGGCTAGCGGTTGCGCTATATCGTGAATTGGCAGAAGTTAGAATTCATGGGCCATTGGATAGGGTCCCAGTGGCTTAATGGTATACGAGCTCGCCTTGTAACCAGAAGGTCCAGGGTTCGAGTCCCGGTGGGTGCGTACTGGTGAAGAGTCCCAAACCAGGACGAAACAGCTGTCCAGTACTCCCTGTAGGTTTTCCAATGCTTCTCTAACCAGTGTCAGCTCATGATGAAATCCTGTAACCAATCACAATCAAGGCAACCAGGAGAGATGACTAATAAACTCGTGGAGAAATATAAAAGATCACTTTAAACTGAAGTGTATGCGCTGAAGATGATGCCTAGTAGGAGGGGGCAATGTGAAAGCTTCGCGAGTATAAACCATCCATCTCGGAGAACATAACCACATCAAAATATATACTTATTTGTTTGTGTGTGTATACATTAGGTTTGTCCGATTAGAATAAGTATAAGTTTGGGTTATTGTTGTCAAGACATTTCAAAAATGTGTTGAATAATCGAATCGTAATTAGGGTTCGGGGGGGGGCAGTGAAGATTGGTAAAAGACGGTAGTGGTGATGCGTTGTCAAAAAAAAAAGAACATAGTTATTAATGTTAGTCATCAACATATAAAAGAAGTTGAATAGGCGTAATACACATCAAGATGCCTAAATTATATATTTAAAATAAGTTAGTTGAAACGCCTTCCTTATCTTGGTCAGCAGTATTTTAAAACCATCTTTAATTGTTGCATAAATTTCCTTAATTTCATTTCATATTTCATTCAGTATTACATTGTTTCATGAGCATTATCACTTACATATGGTTTTTTTAACTGCAATTCAACTAATCTTAACAAGTCGATATTATTGGTCTGTAGGGATTTGATTGATTGGTTACAGGATTTCATAATGCGCTGACATCGGTTATTCCTTTACGTTTCCAGTGGAACATAAGGCGCCTTCAAGCTAGAGGCTTGAAGTTTCAGTAGCAGTGGTACTAATTTTTACGGGATGGGGTTGCTAGCCTCATGCCCAACGTTCCCTGGCTCAGCGAAGTAAAGGAGTGCGTCAGCCGGGGGTCGAAGCCCGAACCACCTGAGTTGTTGGCGGGTATTCTACCGCTGTGCCACCAATGCACAATCATATATATATATATATAAGTGTAGAGCTGGACGAGGCATTTAACGAAAAGAACTTTCTTTGCTCTAACTTTCTTTTGTCTTCTAGATGAAGATTGGTTACGAAGTTATTTATCTGAAGTAAACAACCGGTAAAATATCAGCACGGAGACAGGTTAACCAGCCCCAAGTCAATTAGTCTTATGATATGTTGAATTCCAGACAAACTGGCATCATGCACTAAACCGCCACGTCTTGACCTGACCATTCTTACAAATCCTGAGATGAGAAATTATTCAGCGATACGGAATTCGCTGGGATGATATTTGTGATGCACATACAAGCTTTCAGGACCTGTCTCTCCAGGTGACATTACACCAATATAAAGACGATCTTCACAGCATGACCAGTATGATGGTGTTAGATATCAGGATTCCTTATGCAATGGTTCTCCAGTGCACCGACGAGCAACAAAAACAGGATTTGAATGCAAGCTACAAGACACTGAACAAAAGAGTAAAGAAGAGTGCCAGAGAAGACAAAAGAAAGTATTATGAAACCATGGCAAGTGAAGCAGAACAAGCTGCAGGCAAAGGAGACCTCGCAACACTCTGCCAAACAACTAGGTACCCATCGGACAAAAGTTTGACACAAATTAAGCCGGTGAAGGATGACAATGGAAAGTCACTCACCAAAGAGGTGTAGCAAAGGAAACACTGGGTTGAACACTACAAAAGACTCCTAAATAGACCGCCACCTACAACGCGCCCAATAATACCAACAGCGGAAGCAGAACTACCAGTGAACACCAACCTCCCAACGAAATCAGAAGTCCTCAAGGCAAACAAGATGCTAAAAGCTGGAAAAGCAGCAGGACCACATGGAATCCCAGCATTGAAAATGGACCCAGAGACGACAGCGGACTTGATGACGCCACTGCTGGAGAAGGTGTGGAAAGAAGGCAAAGTACCCGAGGATTGGAAGAAAGGATACTTATTCAAACTACCAAAGAAAGGAGACCTAAGTCAATGCAAGAACTGACTATCGCCAACGATTTTCCTGATTGCGGGTAGTAGACTGGATAATGCGACAAACAGAGGGCAATCAGGAAACAGGCATAAAATGGACCCACACAAAACACTTGGAGGATCTGGACTTCGCCGATGATATATGTCTGATTTCCCACAAACTGGAAGATATGCAAGCGAAAAGCAACAAGTTGGCAGAAGAAGCATCAAATATAGGACTTCAGGTGAACATAGAGAAAACAGAGGTAGGTGATGAAGATTCCTGGCCAACAGCAACAGCAACAGCAACAACAGACAACAATCAGCATATATGGAAGGAACCTGAAAAAAACAACCCTCTTCACCAACCGACCTGGGAAGCATCGTTTCAACTACAGGCCGACAGAACTGACGAGGATATCAAAGCAAGAATCGGAAAAGCAAGACAAGCTTTCACTACTCTCAAGTCTGTGTGGAGGTCAACAGCACTCAGCATCAAAAATAGCATCCGGATTTTCAACTCCAATGTGAAGTCAGTGCTACCATACGGATCAGAGACTTGGCGCGTCATGAAGAGCACCTCAAACAAACTACAGACCTTCATTAACAGCTGTCTTTTCTCAATACTCAAGATCAGATGGCCAGTCAGAAAAGATCAGCAACAGAGATCTCTGGCAATGAGCAAACCAACCAGGAACCGATTGTGAAACAAATAGGCAGGGAGAAATGGAGATGGATTGGCCATACTCTGAGGAAACCATCAAGTGACATCACTAGACAAGCCATTGCTCGAGTGGAACCCGAAAGGGAAGCGGCGAGTTGGCCGTCAGTGCAAGGGTGACTTGGAGGAGATGATATGAAGAGGAGATGAAAACGTGTGGGCAGACTTGGAGCCAGGTGAAGACTCTAGCAGAGAACCGAACGCAATGGAGACGTGTGACTGAAGCCCTATGTTCCTCTAGGAATTAAAGGAAATAATAATAATAATAATAATAATAATAGTAATAAAGCCAGTAAACCACACTTCCTCTACATCGTTAAATTTATTTCCATCGTGTGTTTGAGTTTCAGGAAGACTAATACACACTACACACACACTGAGTGCATTCAACTGAAAAGTTATTATTATTATTATTATTGTATCCTTTTATTCCTACAGGAACATAGGGCTTCAGCCGTGCGTCTCCATTGCGTTCGGTTCTCTCCTAGAGTCTTCACCTGGCTCCATGTCTGCCCACACCTTTTCATCTCCTCTTCACATGACCTCCAAGTCACCCTTGCACTGACGACCAACTCGCCGCTTCTCTTTCGGGTTCCACTCGAGGGCTTGTCTAGTGATGTCACTTGATGGTTTCCTCAGAGTATGGTCAATCCATCTCCATTTCCTTCTGCATATTTGTTTCACAATCGGTTCCTGGTTGGTTCGCTCCCAGAGATCCCTGTTGCTGATCTTTTCTGGCCAGCTGATCTTGAGTATTGAGCGAAGACAGCTGTTAATGAAGGTTTGTAGTTTGTTTGAAATGCTCTTTATGACGCGCAAAGTCTCTGATCCGTATAGTAGTATAAAGAGGAATTAGAGTAAATCTGAATATTTACAAGGTCAAGAGCCTACGCACACACACTAACAAAATGCCGAATCGTCTACCACTGTCTACTGACACTATTTCATCAGTTAATAATTGGCTTTTACCAGTGTTACTATTATTATCATTATTATTGTTATTAGCATAAGATACATATTTGGCATACAAGTAGATACAACCACAATGAGGCGATATTGACCGCCACATACATAACTAGAAAGTTCACTGCTAACTACATTTTTTTTAAATCAACAGATAGACGATCACTCTATTGTTACACTGTAAAAATTTGAATAAAATTCATTAAGTTAATTAAAAGTTTTAACATAATCATCATCTCAGGTCAAGTTAGAAATAGCGTTCATTGGAATTTGAACAATGAAAACGAGCGAGCGGTATACTAAGTAGTAGTGGCCTTGAAAAAAAACCAATCACATCGCCCCATCCTTTTAACAACCAAAGTTAGGTAAGCATTGAGGAAATTAGGTTTATTAGATTTATTGTCCTCTCATACTTACTCTCAAACCTACACATCTAACAGCAGCATTTTAAAGACATTCAAGAAATGGTAACTTCTATTGTGTCCACAAAACGCACGCTGATGGAGATGAGAATTAGTCACACGATGATGACATCAAACGCATGCAATTCCACAAAGAGAGAAATTATCAATTACGTAGAGCCACCGTACATTCTT